ATTTTTAGAGCCATTGCCCAATTTCAGATGGAATCCAAATGACTTGTCAACATCTGGTTGGCATTCAGTGCCCTGCCCAGATGGTTCTGAAGCAAAACCTATACTTGCTTCAAGACTTAGGTCAATAGTTACTCCTCTGTCCAATCCTCTAGGACAATCTCACCCCTTTCCCAGACTTGAAATCTTTCTGGCACCTATGTAGCATTTGTACTGCTCAATTTGAATATTGCCCTAGAAACGGTCTTTGTTTTATTCATTTTATGAGTTCAGCTATGTGCCAGGTCCTCAAGATGTTTGCCTAAAAAAATTGTTGCAATTCATGAAATGGAATGAGAAGGAGCCATCACTGTTCTGAATCAGTGTCTTTCGGTTAGCAACAACTCGTCAGAATGAGATCTGATTTGGATCACAGGGCAATGTTTCATAGTGACCTATAGTTAGGCTGTCTTCATGGACAAACTACTAAAGTAATAATAGAAAATAAAAGACCACACATGCATCTACGCCAAGCAGCAATAGTCTCTTGCAGCCAGAGGGATTGCTTCAGGAATATGCAATGGGAAGTAGGTCCAGGATGTTTGTGGGAACTGATGGGGAAGACAAGCTCTCTCTTCCACTAGATTTAATCCTCAGAAAATGTATATTAGTAGCTTCTGGGGGTTGCCGTAAAGTGAAATCAGCACAGAAAACAAAACTGAGTGGCAGAGAAGCCCAAGCCCTGATGACAGCATTTGAGCCCTGGGATCTAACAGTTCCTGAAGCTACACCTATTTTCAGGACTTTTCAGTTCAGGGAATAGGTAAATTCAGTTCCTTAGACAAGTTGGGATTGACTTTTTACCATTTGCCAATGAAAGACTCCTGACTCCCCTCTCCCCAACTGGTGTTTATACCAATTACCAAGAACTATGGTTTCCTCATCCAAAATAACTCATATCCATCTGCCCTTTTTCATCCTAACGCCCATAATCTAGTTCAGGTTCTCATGACTTCTTACTTGAACATGCAAACTCTTAGTTTGTCCCTCAACCTCCACTTTCTCCCCTCCTATCTTTCCAGATGCTACCCAATTAAATCTCATAAGGCGGTTATAATGAAGGCACTCATTTCACTGCACAAAAACTTTCACTGGCTCCCCATTGCCTACTGAATTAAAAAACTCACAGTCTTTTCCTCCTGTGTGTCTTCTTTACTACTCACACAGAACACTTCTGACACTTCTGGCCACTAAATGGGGCATGGGGGGCAGTTTCCCCACATCCAGTAATTTTTCATGACACCAGCTGGGGTGTCCTACAATTTAATTTAATTCTGACACTAACTACTTGTAAATAGCATCAGATCCCACAGGTTAAGGTCTCAGTCCCACAAGACTGCCCCCTCGCAACTTCAGATGCCAATCACAACCCGTAGGTCCAGAGTTTCCCATCACCTCTTCCTCAAGTTTGATTAATTTGCTAGAAACGTTCACAGAACTCAGGGAAACACTTACTTACATTTATCAGTATATTAAAGGATATGATAAAGGCTACAGATGAACAGCCAGATGAAGAGATACATAGGGCGAGGGCTGGGAGAGTCCCGAGGGCAGGAGCTTCTGTCCCTGTGGAGTTGGGGTGCGTCACTCTCCTGGTACGTGGATGTGTTCTCCAACCTGAAAGCTCTCTGAAGCCTATACTTTTGGGGGTTTATGGAGGCTTCTTCGCGCAGCAGGATCAATTTTTAACTCCATTTCCAGCCCTTCTCCCTTCTCAAGAGAATGGGGGATTGGGACTGAAAATTCGAAGCTTCTAATCAGGGCTTGGTCTTTCTGGTGACCAGCCCTTATCCAGGAGCCTACCCAGAGCTGCCTCATTAGAACAAAAGGAACTCCCATCACCCAGGAAGTTACAAGGGTTTCAGGAGACCAATGTCAGGAGTTGGGGTCAAAGACCAAATATTAGAAGGAAAGATGCTCCTAGTGTTCTTATCATTTAGAAATTACAAGGGTTTTGGGAGCTCTTTGCCAGGAACCGGGGGCAGAGACAAATATACAGTCGTCGTTTGGTATCCGCAAGGGATTGTTCCCAGGACCTGCCCCATGGATACCAAAATCCATGGATGCTCAAGTTCCTTAGTTGGCCCTCTGTATCTGCGTGTTCTACATCTGTGGATTCAACCAACGGCCAATCGTAAACATAGTAAACAATGCGGAACCCGCAGATATGGGGGGCCCACTATATATATTTTCTATTATCTCACACCTACTGAATAAAGTTCCAATTCCTTAGTCTGACATTCTAACCCCTCTATAATCTAGCTGCAAACTCTACCTTTCCGACTTTTATTTTCTGCTATATCTCTCAGGGAATTTATACTCAAGGATTATGCATTCTGGTTGGGTATTTAAGTCCATAGGGCAAGTTTGATGTAGAGCCAAGGTGAACTTGCTATTCCCATGTCCATGTCTTCCAACTCCCTGGTCAAATGAGACCTGTCCTGAAGCCTTCCCTAACCCCACTGCTGGGCACCATGTGTCAATCCTCTGAACTCTTACAGTACTTGATCTCTTCACTTCTTAAGACTTTACCTGTCACTTTCTCTTATCTTTCTACGTTTTATTAGAGCTACTTGTGGATATGTTCTATCTAGTCTGCTCTCCAGAATTCTTCCCTACTGCATAGCTACTCTCCTTCAGTAAGGGTCTGTTTTGGATTCTCTTTTGTGTGCGTCCCATCCCCACCCCTCCCCCAGGGTAATATTCCACATATGTTTATTGAATTGGTATAAATAAAGGAATGAGAAAAGTTGTTTAATAGATTCTTAAGAAGCTTGCTTTTTGATGAATATAAAAAATAACTTATCTATGTATAAACAGATACTACTGGAGTTCATGAACATGCTTGAAAATTGGTTTCCTTAAGTACCAAATTTCACACCTCCTATTTTTGCACTATTAATTTTCCAGCACAAAAGTAAAATTTAGGTAAATCTTTGGCAAAGCCTGAAAAATTCTAAATTATCTTGATGATGATCAAGCACCACGTATGAGTGTAATTGAAAAACTGTCTCATGACTAACAGTTCTCTTTGAACCATGTTAATAGATGCAATAACACACATTTAAGTAGTGTGTTACAGTTTACAGAATGCTTCTAGAGACATTACTTCATTCCTGTTTCACAACCCTGTGAGATCAGTAGGGCAGGAATCATCAGCCCTGTTTTACCAACAAGGAAAAGGTAAGATCTAGGAGAGGCTAAGCAACTAACAAGTTTCCATAACTAACTAGATGACAGAACTAGGACTAAACCCCAAGATTTCTGACACCTAGTCCAGAGCTCTTCCAGTTATTCCATGCTACTTACCCTAGGCTAACTAAGGTAACTTCATTCCCTCATTACCAGTTGATTTAGCAAAGGATTTATAACCATTGAATTCTGGCCATTGCGATATGAGGAGAGGTCTAGGGAGTGGTATAGTTTTCTTACTCCTAAGAGAGAGACATAGGAAAAGAAGCTCTGTTTTTTTTTCCTCCTGGATGAAATTGTATATGATATTTGCTCATTATTTCTCCCTCCACCTTGCCACAAGCCTGGGCAGAGCCAATGCAGAAGAGGCCAGAGCTAAGAGAAGCAGAGCTGGAGCCTTGAGTGCCCCTCACCTGGAGCCACCGCATCCTTGAACTTCTTGCTATGTGAGATAATCAATTTCCTTATTATCATTTAAGCCAGCATGAGTCAGGGTTTTCCATTACTTGTATCTGAAATTATCCTAACAGAAACAATATGGGAAACTTTACAATATACAGATTTAGGGTAGAGAGTCCTGGGTTTGAATCCCCTCTCCAACACTTCAAACTGGGAATGTCACTTAACTATTTGGAGCCTCAGGTTCTTATCAGTAAAAAGAGGGATATGTGTTCCTACTGCTCAGGGTTATTTGGTCAAATGCAATAAGGAGTAGGAAGGGTCTGGGACATGGTAGACCATAAATAGCCATTATTGTTAAGATGAACTCTATACCAATTCACAAAAAATATTTTTTAAACTATAAATTTACACAAAATGATTTTATTGGCTCACTCATCCTTTCTCCTCTCGTCAGGCAGGCATTAGAGTAAATACAATGTAGGTTGAGTCCTATCAAGCTTAGATCAAGAATATCCAACCTCTGAGTGAACTTCATTTCCCTGAAGCTTTGAGTTCATTGGGCAGGGGATGAAAGAGTTGATAATAAAATTACAATTGGAGCTGAGGTTGGGGGCTCTGCTACCAAGGCTGGAATTTGCCTTGAAGTCAGCAATCAACCCTTCAAAGAGTAGCCTAACAAATCAAAGACTTGTCATTTATTTGTTTTTAATTTTCCTGCAGAAAAGGTTTTAAGGATTTAATTGTTCAATTTTATTGCACTGTTAAAAAAAGAGAGAGAGAGACATTGCCATCTCTTGTCCTGAAAGAGAAGAAAGCTTGGATAACCTCACTTTACCAATATGCTATTTATACAACTGTGAGGTCATCATAGTTTAGAACTGAACTGGGCCTTTCTGGCTCTGCCTGGATGGGAGCCAAGTGCCTGTTTTCATTTCAACATTTAAACAAAAAATATCATGTCATCTTGGAATGGTGTCACATTGCTAGGAGGAGCTAATTTTTATTGGCAGCATAATCCCCAAGCTACTCTGTTACCTATTATCCCTCTGTTGGATGGAGTGGACCCACTGCTTATCTGGAGGGTATGCCCGCACTCTGGCTGTACACAGTTGTCCAAACAGGGCCTCAGCCAACCTTGAATAAAGAGGCAAAACCCTGTGTGCTCCAGGAACAGCCAGAGGACCCAAGCTCGGGCCCCAAGGATTGTGTGAGGCTTCTGGACGCAGCGACTTCAGAGCCATTTATTAAGTTTTGGCTTACATCTTGATTTTTCAGGGACAGGGATGATAATATGAACGACTCCTTATAAGTCTCACAGGATCTAGGGGCTAAGCGTTCTTCTCACTAATTTTAGTCTGCCGGAAACCCAGATAAAAAAGTCACTCCTCCCTGAAGGAAGTCCCTACCTGCAGCTGCTGGTGTCAGTACTGGAATCTCCTCCCAGCGTGACCTTCATTGCTTCTGTCACGGTGACAGCTTCCCCAGGGCTGTCACAGTCCGAACTTGCCCTTCCTCCAGGAGCAGAAGCTGCAGCGGAGAACACCTGTGCAGCCACCAGCTCTGACGTCCACTTGCCTACATGTGAGTAAGTTGCCCTCACCCCTCAGCGCCTATGAAAGGGCTTTCTCTCCAATCGGCCTCTCTCCCCCATATCAGGTGGAGAGCTAGCCCTCCACGGTGTTCTGCAGGCTTTAAAGTGAACAGAACACGGATGATTATTCTTGTGGTTTTCCTAATCTGTGTACCGAGGGCAGCAGGGGCGGTGATTCTGTGTTGAAATAAAACAGGTTACTGGTCTGAAAGAGCAGGAAACACATTGCTTCTATAGATACAAACTCTCCTGCTTTATGCTTGAACTGCCCATCCTTACCTTGTTTTCAAATTGTGAGAAATCGCTGCCATTCCCGGAGATGGGACAGGATGGCTATGGGGTGCTCGTCCTGGCAAGCTGGCTTGTTTTTCACTCTTACCTCCACTGAGTTGAAGGAAAACCTAGAGACCTCAGAGAGAGTTTAAGAAATGCCTGGGCAATCTGCTGAAAGCTGAAAATCAGTCTCAAATTTACCTCATTGTTGTCTGTTTTCAAGGTCAGATTGGCTGATAATGTCAAGCAAAACAGCCAAACTAGCTTTCCTGTTACCTCTGTTCAAAAGTGTAATGGCTACAAATAACCAACACATGACCCCTTCCTCAATTAGCTCTCACACTAGCAGCTAACCATAGAGTTGTTAGAGCAAAAATAAAACTAATAATAGTAATATAATGAGTAGCTAACATGATTTGAGAATTAGGCGCTGTACAACATATTAATATTTTGATGCATTTCCTAATTTAATCCTCTCTGTAAACTTGAAAGGAGGGTATTATCACTACCCTATTTTGCCAATGAGGAAACAGGCCTTCCCAGTGTGCTGGCTCTTCTGTCTGTCTCCTTCCCAGCAGCCCTCCACCCTTCTCTGCCCTGCTCTGTGCCCAGAGGGCTGAGCCTTACAGACAGCACCACCCGGCTCCCCTGTGAGCTGACTTTGGCAGGCTTGAGAGATCAGAGGATGGGAGGTGAAGTTAGGGTGTTTCTTTCCCACTCCCTCCCTTCTTGGGCACCAGATTCCTCCCAGGAATTCCTTCATGGACTGCTCGGCTCCCACCTCGGGCCCCCTCCCTGATGCTCACACTCCCTGGACTCTGCTATAGTGTTTCCTCCCTTCTACCTCCTGCCCTAACGGTAGTGATGGCTTCCCCCTGTTGCTAGACCCTGGGTGATTCTCTATCCTTGTTTGTCCCCTCAACCCTGTCCTCACCTCCATAAGTAGCCACTTCATTAAAGTCTCTTCATTTGAACCAATCTAGGGCAAATTGTGTTCCTGACAAGCCACTGACTGATACACCCAGCAAAAGTGGTGCACCAGAGATTCAACCCCATAGTATTCGGTAGTAGGGGAAAGGAAAGGTAAACTGATAATAAAAGAAATAACATTATAAGAGCCATGAGCAAGTTGTAGAGAGTGTTATGGGAAATCAAAAGCTGACAAAAGTACTTTGTAAAGGATGTGACATTGTGTTAGGCCTTTAAAAAATGAGTAGAATTGACACAAGTGGCTATGAAGGAAAGATTTTCAAGTACCTACAAAGGCATTGAGGCCAAAAAGCACGAACCACGTTTCAGGAACAGAAGTGGTTCAGTCCCAGAAGTGGAGTAAGCCTATGGATGGGGTTTCTCTACTGTTCTATGAAATGTGACTACCATATTGAAAAGAAGATTCCATTGTCAAATAAGATTGGGTAACTTTGAGATAAATGAGCTTAACCAGGTTTCTTTACTCAGGATTTCTCAGAGTGGAAATGCTAATATGCATATTTGGTTACTTTTTTTCATGGACAATCTATTAACATCTTCCAGAAGTGTGGAAGGAAATAGAGTATGGGAAACACATATTGTCCAATAGGATTCTACAGTCCTGTGGAAATCCCTGGCAGATTGATTCAGAACACACTGTGGCAGCCAGGATTCAGAGCACATTCCAAAGGGTTCTGTAGAAAGTCAGTGGGAAGGTCACAAGTCATGGACAAATGATGCCTGGAACCCCATCATGTAGCCATAGCATGAGTACTGCAAGGTAATTAGAAAGACCAAGTGGAAATTGAATTTGTTATCTTCCCATGACCCATAAGGAAAGGATGGTGAATGGGCATCAAACAGAAATTCAGATTTATATCCTGGAAAATACTGGAGCCCTAGTGGTAAAAATTTCACATACAATGTGCCCTGCTTTTAGTGGCTGGCAAACCAAATTATTTAAGACCTGACATTTTAAACTAATTAGAATTTTACTTATTAATTCATTTAATCATTTATTAAATAAAAATTAATTGAGCCTTTACTATAAGCCAGGGTCTCTGCTAGGCCATAGAGGAAACTATAAAGACTAGAAAGAAAAACAAGACAGTGTCCCTGCTCATAAGGAGCTCTGGGCCACTTGAGGTTGAACGTGTAAATATATTGTTACAATGTAAGATATAATTTCACTACAGTTCTCTGAAAACACAGAGAATGAATTTACATATCTAGCAATGAAGGGTTTGGAAGCCTTCAGAGAAGAGTTGCTATTAGAGCTTAAAGGATGAGAAGGATTTGCGGGAAATTTGAGGAAAAAGGAGAAACCTCATGAAAGACACTGAATTTGAATATCGAGACCCCATATTTAACCACATAAAAGCTTACTCCTTATAAGACAGAAAAGAGAGAATCCAATATTTGTGGATAAATATAAACATAAATTAAAAACAAAAGAATTTTCCAAAAATGCCTTTTAAAGTTATAGAGACTTTGGAGAAAATTTCCTAACGTTAATGTAAAGAGAGTGTCAAAAGATTATTAAAGTCTATTTCAAGACCAGTAGCTCTGCACCTTCCCCTTGAGTTAAAGAAAGAAAAAAGATCTTAATTTTCTCTTTTGTTCTTTTTTTTTTTTAAAGATTTTATTTATTTATTTATTTTCCCCCCAAAGCCCCACTAGATAGTTGTATGTCATAGCTGCACATCCTTCTAGTTGCTGTGTGTGGGACGTGGCCTCAGCATGGCGGGAGACGCGGTGTGTCGGTGCACGCCCGGGATCCGAACCCGGGCCGCCAGCAGCGGAGCACGTGCACTTAACAGCTAAGCCAGGGGCCGGCCCTTCTCTTTTGTTCTTGATCATGGGATCCAGTATGCCAGTTACAGAACATCAGAGAAGCCAGTTCTGGCCTCTGGAGACTTTCTGAATTTGACCAGAGAAAATGAGAAACACACAGTTATTTAAAATGTTTCTAATTTTTCAGTTTAGAATAGTGCCCACGGTGGACAGGAAATTGCTAGTGCCCAAGCCTGTTTCTCCTCCTGATCATTTTAGACTGCTGTATTCTTTTAAGTGGGATTAGAACAAAGCTTTTCCTTGCTGTACAGCTTGTATTTGAGGTTACCACGTGCACCAGTGTGACAGTTTAACTCCACAGCTACTCGATGTGTTCAGCTTTGCTATATTATACCCCAACATATTTATATTCAGAGCGTGCTGACTACTTATATTTCCAAACCCTTAAAATGAGTAATCTATACTTAACAAAAACAGGAATGTGTAAAAAGTGTTCAGTGCAATACAAATAAATCTGTTTTGTTTTATTAAGTGTTGTAAAGATTTTTTTTAGTGGTTCTTTTTGTTAGCTCTTTTCTTTTAATTATGGGAGTTTGTTGTGGTTTTATTTTTTACCATGTAAGATTTTAAACCCACCATCATAAGAAAAAAATCTGGTTTTCCCCTTAAAACACTGACAAATATATAGACCTGGCAATTTTAATGATTCAATAGATGTTTGTTGAATGAATGAATGAACTGATGGTGCCATAGGGGAGGCAAGAGGATGACAAAAAACATACAACCCTGGATCTCTTTTGAATCTGTAATTTTTCCTAAATTCAATATTAAGAAACTCTGTTGCCTACAGAGCAGACCTATGACAAGAAGATTTGGGGATTGAACAGGATTCCTGAAATAAATTTCTTCTTAGAAAGCTGGGATTAAACTTTTTAGCATTGCTAATATAATAATTTGATTCATTCACTTATTCATTTATTCATTCATTCAATAATTTTTAAAACACTTATTGAACATTCACACTAGTAGTAATAAAAGTAATAACAATATTAACAAGAGGTAATGCCAATTTAGAATTTATTTTGTTCTGAGCCCTGTGCTATGTGCTTCGTAGTGTACAACAGCCCTGAATTAGCCCCATTGTACAGATGAGAAAAGAGAGGCAAAGAAAGGCACATAACTTGCCCATGGTTATACAGCAGCTTAATTGAATTGAAGCCAGTCTGACTGAAGAGTTCCACATTCTTTGTTACCCCAGGACCCCATGGTAGGGGTGCCCAATGATAAAAATATGTAGGGCCGGCCCCGAGGCTTAGCGGTTAAGTGCACTCGCTCCGCTGCTGGCGGCCCGGGTTGGGATCCTGGGCGTGCACCGATGCATCGCTTCTCCGGCCATGCTGAGGCCGCGTCCCACATACAGCAACTAGAAGGATGTGCAGCTATGATATACAACTATCTACTGGGGCTTTGGGGGAAAAATAAATAAATAAATAAAATTAAAAAAAAAATATGTAGATCGTCCTC